CTCTTCAGCTGTCTCTTAGGACAGTATGTAAAGTATGCATGGCATGTTAGATGCCTGATAGTCTAGCTGTTCCCTACATCGGGGGTGTCAAGCATGAGAGCTGCAAGCTGCATCAAGCTCATAAGAACCCTTTATCTGGCCTGTGGCTCTGTAACAGTGCTGCCATGTGGGGTTCTCCCATGTCAGGCACTTAGGTCCAGAGCAGATAAGGACTAACAGAATAAGGAACAGCTTCAAACAACTTCACTGTGAACAGTAACAGCACATCTTGTACAGTAGCCTCTAAGCCTTCTTCAAGAACTAATTAGACACGCTCCAACACCCACCAGTTCAACTCACATCCTGTTTAGCGCTAGCAATCAGGCTGCTGCCTGGCTGCTTATGACCTGTGAATGCATGTTTGGCAGGAACAGGCAGGGAAGTTTGGGGGCTGGATCAGAAAGCCAACTTCCATCTGGTTTCTGGGATCAGCTGACAGCCTTGCTGGAACACAGCAAAGATTTGGGGGTGGGTGGGTGGGTGGGGAATCAGAAGTCAACTCCCAGTTCATTCCTTACAACCACATGGGGGTCAGCGTCTGACCTTCCGCCCACTTTGTGGTGTCCCAGCTGAGGGTGGGCTTCTGACACACCCCAAATATTTCTGCATTGCAGCCAGGCTGGGACTAGAGATAAGAAGTACAGCTTCTGATCCCTAATATTGTTGGGTCCTGGCCTTTCAGAGACCCAGCAATTTTGGGGTGGGGTGAACCAAGAGCCCACTGCCAGATGAAGTCTTGGAGGGACATAGCAATATGCCAGATGAAGAGCTCTGAACAGGGACTTTCCCCCCCTTTTTTTAAAGGAGGTGCCAAAACTCTCAAGAGGGAAATGAAGTTTTCCCTTTATATATTGAAAGCTAATGAAGTTTTAAACATTTTTAAAATAATTTTGTCAATAAAATTAAAAAATAAATAAATAAAACAATTCATTACACTTCTCATTCATCTTGTGGACTTTGGTCTTGTTTTTATGCAAGTTCTCTCCAAAGAAGGTTGATTTCCAGTTCAAGCTTAAGAAATGGATTGCTTAATTTTTACTTTAATGTGCAGAGATTTATATGATACTAGCAGTGAAGCCTGTTGTAGCTGCAAGACAACGAGCACTAGGAAGGTGTTCGGGAGCAGAGGCGCCAGGCCAGCCGCCAGCCGAGGGGATGTAGTAAAAGGAAGGACAGGACTGCCCACTGGAAACAATGGGAGAGACTTGAAGTCCCATTAGAAATAAAGGGAGCCGGGAATGCCAATTGGCTTGCATGGGCTCCATTGAAATACATTACAGCTCAAAAGAGTTGCAAAGAAAATGTGGAATGGATTTTCCATTAAGGTCTCTGATCTCAAACACAGTACTCTGGGACTGGAATGACAGGTCCAGGAGTGTAATGATAGCCCCTGGGAGTAGCAGATGTGTTCTGAGGGTGGAATGACAGGCCGCAGAGTGGAATGACAGCCCCTGGAGGGTAGGAAATGTGTCCTGGGACTTGAATGAGAGGTTTCAGGGTGGAATGACAGCCCCTGGGGGGTGGGAGATGTGTCCTGGGACTGGGATGACAGGCCCCCCGAGTGGAATGACAGCCCCTAGGGGTAGCAGGAGTCTTCTGGGAGTGGAAAGACAGGCTCCACAGTGGAATGACAGCCACTGGAGGTAAGAGTGTTCTGGGACTGGAGTGGCCTGTCATTCTAGTCCCAGATGACTCCTGGTACCCCCAGGAGCTGTCATTCCAGTCTCAGGACACATCTGGATAAATGTGTGATGTCAACCACATGTTCAGTTACACATGCATCTAATTACTCAACACATGTATCAAGAGATATTTAAAAATCAATGGTACATTGTAAATTGACTTTATATGTATTCACTGGGAAAGTTTACCCTTGCGATGGGGCATGTGACAATTATTCACTGAAGTCGCTTGGTCACTGCTATTCCAAATGTCCCTTCTTCACTAACTTCACTAAATTACCTAGTTTTCTCTTATGTTGATGGAAAGGCAGAGGCTTATATCTTGCCTAAGCAAACCACTACTGTGACACTGATGTGACATTTTCTTTAGCCCTAATATGCAAGGTCTAGTTTTCAAATCTGTTGTTTGAAATTTTTTAAAAAATTGGTATTAATCAGTGAAACACATCACAGCCCAGTGGCTACAATGAAAAGTGCAGCTTTAGGGCCTGGAAGACCATCTCATCAAAATCCCTCTCCAAAAGCACAAATCGAAAGGCACAGAGTAGAGAATCACCTTTCATGCTTTGGTGCAACCTGAGATCTCCCACTTTTGTCACAACACGGTTTAATTAGCCTGCAAAAGCTTTCTGCATCTCCAACAGAAAGGCCTTTGAAGACTATAACCTATAGCAGGCAGATCTCCTTTATGGCTTTTGCATCAATATCATGTTCCAGCATTCGCTTGCGTTCTCACTCTGTCTTACTGTTTACATTCTGCTTTGTAACTTTCAGTTGGCTAGTATTATGCTACTGCTGCAGTTCTCATGGTCCACAACAACTGCAATTTTTTCTGTATCAACAATAGGGCTGCCATGTCCCCTGCGGGGGGCAGGGGTTTGCCTGCTCTAGGGTCCCCCAACCCGCCAGCCTGGATCCGGCCACTGGGGGGAACTCTGCCCCCAAAGTGCTTGAATCAGGCCAAGATGCCCAATGCAATGCTGTCACCCGGAGGTGACATCATCGTGCCGAGCACATCGTCTGGGGACGCTCTAGTGTTTGACCTTAAAACTCTATGATACCATAGAGTTGTAAAACCGAATGCTAGAGCGTCCCTCTAGCGATGACATCACTTCTGAGTGACATAATTGTGGCACGTGCGCACTACATATGCGCAAGAGACTCTCGGACACAGAGATTCTTCCCCCACACACTGGATGCCAGGTAGGGACCTGGCAACCCTAATCATCAAAACCCCCCACAGCACTGGTTAAAAGATCTCATGTTGGAAACCATCCATCTTATACACCGGTGTTGAGAGGAACACGCACAGTTACAGAGATGAGGACTGTGATGCTGGACAGAGCAAAGAGAAAGTAAACAACGGCATGTACTTCGACACAATGCTCTTTTGTTCTGCTTCTTCCAAACTGTGACAAAGAAGACATTGAGAGCTGAAGTCAAGGACCAGCTTCTGCTTTTTTATTCTCATGGAAAGCAGTAATCAGATCCAGGTCTGTAGCTACGGTGGGGCATTTCAGGGCTCTGCCCCTCAAATGGAGGCATACCTTACAACAGCTGCTGCCCCTCTCCCCCCTCCCCTCCTGTGGCATTAAAAGGGCCCTTCAGCTGATCAGAGGGAGCACATGGCCCCCAGATCAGCTGGAGGGCCCTTTAAATCTTGCAGCTGCCTCTTTCCCTCATCTCCTGTCTTTCCCTTCCCTCCCCCCAGCTGATCAACAGGCCCTTTAAATCTCGCAGGAGGTGAGGGAGAGAGGCGGCTGCCGACCTCACGCCTTCCCTGAACTCCAAGCAGTGATTTTGCTGCTTGGAGTTCAGGCACAGGCAGCTCCCACTCGAAAAACACCATTTACAGGGAACCCATTAAATGCTGTTTTTCTAGCAGGGGCTGCTGGCACCTGATCTCCAAGTGGCGAAATCACCACTTGGAGTTCAGGGAAAGCATACAGCTGCCTCTCTCTGTCTCCTCTCCCCTGTTGCCCCACAGAATTTCCCCATGCCCCACCAACCCAACATTTCTGGCTATGAGGCCGCTCAGAGCCTTGTGTGATGTCACCACTTTCCTCCTATAAACTCACAATGATGTGTTTTGATGTATCCCTTCATCACAGGAACACATTGTTCTCTGCTATAGGCAAACTATTCAGGATTGCTTGAACAGCTTTTGGCATGGAACCTGGCTTGCTGAGAGTAATCAGCACCTGAAATGAGGCCCTTAGAACTGTGGGCATTTGGGATATGTGAGAATCATATGATTTTACGCAAGGCGAGCATTATTCAACATGCCTCCAAGATGTGGGAGCCACACAGCATCCTGTAGCCTGAGGTGGGGCAACTACTGAGGTCCAAGAGTTCTGATGTGGCCCACTGCTGCAGTGTTGACCCATACACGCTTTCTCCTACCCATGCTCCCAGCCAGACACGGTTCCCACTGCAATCAGGCAAGGAGCAACCAGGTGTTGCCTGTGGCTTGGGTGAGTAGGCAGGGGAGGGATGCCCAGCTGGGGGAAGAGCTGGTGAGTGGGAGGTAACAGTGGGGAGGGGAGGGGGCTGCTGAGTACTTTCTGCCCAGGGACCCCGAAACCTTGAACCCACCCTGATTGCATATAGAACCTATATGTCTTAGCTGTATGCAAACTGGCACCAATAGAATGTCATTAAAAACACTGCTGTATTGACTGCAGAAAAAGGTTTTATTGGTACTAAGAAAAAAGAAGAGTATTGGATTTCACGAGTCTGGCAGTACTTTCTACCACAAACAAAAAATGCTTTGTTCAGCAAATTGTGAAAGGGCTCACCTGCTGCTAGCAGAAAGATAATGCTGAAATTCATTCTTTACCATGAGTCAGTTTTGATCATTGATATATATGTATTTATGTTGTAAGAAAATTTCAACTAAGATGTCATGTAGATGTAATCAGTTTCCACTTATAACATAAGAACAGACTTTTTATTTTTCAGCCAATTCCACCAGCAAAGACAAAACCTGGCAGCAGTTGATTCTACTGTTTGACCCATTTCTGAGTGGTAGTTCAGGCAGCCAACTGATTTTGCGTGCATCAAATCTTGCCACCCTAAAACAGAATTATTATATAGGAGAGATATGTCTTAGCTGTATGCAAACTGACAGTAATAGAATGTCATTAAAAACACTGCTGTATTGACTGCAGAAAAAAAAAGTTTTATCAGTACAAAGAAAGAGTATTGGATTTCACGAGTCTGGCAGTACTTTCTGCCCCAAACAAAAATGCTTTGTTCAGCAAAATGTGAAAGGGCCCAGTTGCTAGCACAAAGATAATGCTGAAAATCATTCATTCATTCATTACCCTGCCTCTGTTTTGATCATATTTTATTTATTTATATATATGTTTGTCTCTGTGTAAATTTCAACAAAGATGTCATATGGACTTAATCACTTTCCAATGATAACATAAGAACAGACTTTTTATTTTTCAGACAATTCCACCAGCAAAGACAAAACCCGGCAGCAGTTGATTCTACTGTTCGAATTTCATGGAGTCTTGGAAAGTAGTTCTTGGGCAATGAAATGGTTTAGAAGAACAACTTATCCAAAATTGTAGGAAGGCTCCTATTTAAGAAATAATGTAAAATTCATACATAAAAACAGATCTGCTTCAGAATGGCCAGAGTATCCTTTCAAGATTGCGATGTATTCTCCCTGCAACAAAGAAAATGAGTTAATTCCTAGATGCAGTGATAGTTTACAGTGCTGCAAACCAAACAACTCCCACTCATTTCAGCAGGGCTGAGGCTAGTTCAAAAGACCAGGGACTCCCTCAAAGATTTCATTATTTCAGGGACTCTCCGCCTGCTACCAGGAGTGAATGCAATCTCTAGAATGAATCTATGAGTTGGTTGATTACTAGACTGACTTTCTGCAAGCAACAGCTTTGTTGATAACATAGTACTTGCTTTTTTTGCCCCACTGCTCTAGGGTTTATAAGCTCTGTTTGCATTAATTGGGTGTGTTTATTTCATTACATCCTTCTCAAGAGGCTGGGTTCAGCCCTGACCTGAATAGCCCAGGCTAGCCAAATCTCATCAGGTCTCGGAAGCTAAAGAGGGCCAACCCTGGAAAGTAGTTGGGATGGGAGACCTCCAAAGAATGCCAGGATCGGGAGGCAGAGGCAGGCTACCAAGGCACCTCTCTGAATGTCCTTCAGGCCCCAGCAGGAGTTGCCAGAGGTCACCATGACTTCCAGGCATGGGCATACACACAGACATACTTACAGACACACACACACAAATGCAAAAACCCCCACAAAAAATAGCTGGGTTCAGAGCAGCAGGTCTTCTGGGGATCTACTACAGATAACTGTGTAAGGAAAGTACCCTTTGCATTGTAATCTATAATTGTGTGTGCTCTACTACCTTGGGAAGGGGGAAGCCTACTCATCATTTTTTAAAAATTTAATTTTGTTGATGAAAATTTATTTATTTTTACCCCGCCCTCCCCGTCAAGGCAGGCTCAGGGCAGCTTACAGAAGAACCAATAGGTAAACAACAATACAAATATTAATATAAAATACACAGGTTATTAAAAATGTCAATCAATACAATTTCAATCCACGTTGCAGTTGCATATGACAAAAACTAGTATTACAGAATGAACAGTACTTTCAAGAAATCAGAACAAACATTAATGATAAGGCAAAATACGTTAAATAAGCAGGATCTAGGTATTGATCACTGAAGAACTATAAGCCTTCTCTGATTGGTCTGTGATAAGACATGTCAGCTCTACCTCCTAGTCATTGTCTATGATGCCTTCATTTCTGGAACTTTAAAAAACCCCACCGTGAATGTATACCGTTGTACTTAATGCACTCATTGGACTGAACTTGTTAATTTTCTTCAGCAGAATCTAAACCTGGCTGCTTTGTGATACTGGAAATCACTTACTTCATGATCACATCGCAAAGTTCTCCTTCCACCACCACCTCCCTTTTTTCTGCTTTACAAACTGCATAAAAAGATTCACTGAAATGTAGTAGTCATTAAGGAATTCAAGAAGCTGAGCTTGTCATTCCAGGAGCAGGAACTCCTTGACATTGCTGCAGTGCCATGGGATTACATGAAATCCATTAAGACTGCTGGAATAGTTTGTTTCCCCCCAAAAAAAATATAAGTTGTACAAAACTTATTTTTCAACTTTTCTAGCACTTAGCGTTTATGAAAGAGTAGCTCTGAAAAAGTACCATTGGATAGCTTGCTTTTCTACTACGGAGTCCCACAGTTGTGTTGACAGTCTCTGCAAAAGAGAAATAATTATTAAGTTACAAGGCACTACCATCATTCTGTCATTCTTCCAGAGCTGCAAGTATATAAATTCCTTCAGCACTCCCTCCCCCACAGGCTTCCGGTCTGGCTCCCGCGAAAGGCAGACGCATCCTCGGGTCGCTCCCGAGGGCGCCTTGCCCGCCCGCGGTGGAGGAGGGAATCCGCGCAAGCGGAGACCCGAACGAGCCCCTCAGATGAGAGGAGCTCGGATCCGGGGCGCTTTAGGGCGTTCCAGGGGGGAGTCTCTTTTTCGGTCGAAAGGTCGGAGATTGAGACTCTCGCCATGCCCTGCCCCTTTGGACCTTGCTGCGTGAGCGACCCTGTTTTACGGGGTTTAGCGGAACCACCGGGCGTCACCGAGTGATGAAGCGAATATCCGAAAAAAATGGAAAAGAAAAGACTGGCGTAACTGTGAGTTGTCAAAATACAGAGAAAATGAACTAAGAACGTTTCCCCCCCCCCCTTCAGCGGAAAATGAGGGGGTTAATCCTCTATAAGCGAGAAAGAAAAAAAAAGAAAAGAGGGGGGGGAATGGACTGAGCGAATAGTGATGTTTTCCTTTGATGTACTTGAAAATAAGCAAGAGGTTTTGTTTCCCTGGAGCGCATTTTAAAAACTTTACTAAAAATAAAAAAACAAGATGTCGGAGCTGGGTAAATACAAGCGGAGGAGAAGGGAGGGACTTCCGTCTGGGCGTTTGTGTCAACGTGAGTGCTGGCTGTTTAATATTTGGACTGTGTATAGCTATGAATCCAACGGGGATTGTGAAGGAAAAGAAAAGTTTGAATTGTGACAGCGAAAAGTGCCTCATGAGCGCTTATAAAAGTCAACAATTGAAGAGGAGAATCCAGCGAAGAGATTGGTAAAAGCGAAATTGAAATTAATACCATTCTCAAAGCTGGAGATCTCCGGGCATGGCATGAAAGGAAGACGACTTATAGCACAGGAACTGAAAGAGTTAACAGCGACCCGAAGGAGGAGGGGAAGAAGCCGGAGGGAGAGAAAAAACAGAGGAAGCCCCTCCCGTCACTGAGAGTGGAAAAGTAACCAGCACGTAAAAGAAGCGGTTTTGAATGTGCCCTGAAGAGACTTTTTAACAGAAATTCAAAGGAACATTACTAACATACTAATACAGAAAGTAACTGGAATTGAAAAAAGATGTTTGACAACACGCAGAAGAAGCCTTTGATGATTGGACATTACTAACAGTTTAATCTAACAGTTAATAGATCACTCAGCTTTCTCTTCGTCCCACTATATACCTTCCCTATTTTTCTTTTTAAGCGAAACTCCTCCCCTTTTTAGGGGAGTCAATAAAATCTTTATACAAAGCACTCCCTCCCCCACAGACAGAGAGCATACTGGAGGCAGAGGACACAAACAGGAAGCCAAAAGCAGCGTAGCAATAAGAACTACCCGAGGTAGGGTTGACAGGTCCCCCTGGTCACTGGTGTGTGTGTGTGTGGGGGAGGGTAGGCTTGTCAGCTCCAGGCTAGGTCATCCCTGAAGATTCAGGGGTGGATTCCGGAGAGGACAGGGCCCTCAGTGGGGTACAATGCCATAGAGTCTACCCTCCAAAGCACCTATTTTCTCCAGGGGAATTGATCTCTGTAGTCTGGAGATTAGATGTAATTCCAGGAACTCCCCAGACTTCACCTGGAGGACAGCAACCTTAACCAAATCATACTAAGACATGTTCTCTTGGCCAAGCCTTGCCCATCATGCATTTCCTCAAAGTTAGCTTAACTGCTGGGTGGTGGCCACTGAAATCTCACTATGTGGATGCTGCTCATGATATAGGATTGGCTTCCTGCAACAAAAAAACCCCTCCAAGCAGCTCTTTGGCCATATGACCCAACCTAGAGCCAGGTTGCGTAGCTTGCTTCCTCTTCAGAGAGAGCCAGTTTGTCTCCCATCAGACCAGGGATTCTGGTTGCTCAGCCATGGCTCCATTTCTAAGGACTATGATGAGCTGAAAAAGCCAGGTTCATTCTTTAATGCATGGGATCAAGTTTATACCTTCCAATGACAGTACACGACTGGGGTCTTCTATAAGGATCTAATCATGGCTGAGACCCAGGTATGCATGCAAAATACTTCTGTATATACACAGAATGGGATATATTTTTTCCTTTGGAGAATAGTCCCTTATGCCTCAAAGAATGACATTCTGGAGGGATGCCCAACATTCAGGGAGTGTAGAAGGCTGCTGCTAGAATGTGGAGACTGAAAAGCCTTGGGTATGTGCAATAAACTATGTGTGGAACATGGTGCCTGTTCCAGATTCTGATTTTGGTGCTGGGTGCTTGCCATGCCAGAGTAATCTGGGACTCTGTACTCATACACTGCTTTTGACAGGGCCAGGACTAAGATGGATTCTGCGGCATGTCTAATAAACCTCTGTCATCCTGCAGAAGGATTCTGAGCTGTTCCCTTGTCTCTTGCCAGATGTCAAAATTCACACATGCTGCTTCTTGCCTGTGTGCTGTCCTGCACGAACTAAGAGTGTACTCTAAACTGCTCTTTGATGTGGCAGGTAGGCTGAGTCATTTTCTAGGTTCCTGATGGATAGAAGCCACAGCCACACTCACAATGCATCCCACACAAATTGAATGTGTGCCTCTAAGCATTCTGGGTTTCCCTTTCCCAGGCCTCTCTCTTCCTAGTCCTGACACCTACTTCTAACTACATGAAGATTTACTTCATAGCTATGCATTACTTAGGAGACACGTGATCATATCGTCTAATATATATGTTTTCAGTTTCTTGTATTTCCTGGGTGGGACACCTCCAAATTTGATTAAAGCAATGGCTCCAGGAGAAGACACCACTTTCTTCATCAAAATTGCTTTGTCGAGCTGCTGTAAACCACACAGGGGGGAAATACAGACATCAGAACAAGCAGCTGTCCAGCGGGGGGGGGGGGGATTTTTTTTGGGGGAGGGGGAAATGGATAAATATCCCCATGTATTCTTCCAGTTCTACTGTTTTTAGCAAATTTGGAGTCAATCACTTCTGGGACTATTAAAGACAAAAAAAGTTAGGATCGCCTAAGTATTGTGCCTTTATTTTTAGTTGTGTTACAGGATACTTTAGTCATAGAGATAAGAGGTTCAAACATAAGGATTAATTGTCAGTGACTATCAGTTTGAAGGACCCTAGATCTCACACCCATAGTCTTAGAAGATGCTGTATGCCTTTCCTATAATGTTACCCCCAGCTGGATTGTTTGTTTGCTGTATATGAGTAACCCTCAAAACTCACCACTCATATCTGTTGGCACAACATTCAGTCCTCTTACTTTAGGGAAAGTGCTGTAGAGGTAATAGATGACAATACTTGCCCAATTGTGCCAATTTTCTGGTTGTGTTTGTTGTAAAATAGTCAAAAGTATATAAAATACTCAGAGTATCAATGGATCTTGCTCTATTGGAAAGAAGAGATTTCTTTGCTTTTAAAAACCTTTATATCTAAGGGTAAAAGGCAGGGGTTGGATGGGGCCGGAGCTCTCCGGAGCACAGCTCCGGGAGTGAAGAGCACAGGGGGCAGGGTGGTCACATGACCAAGCCCTGCTCCCTGCTCCCTGCTCCCTGCTCCCAGCAGGCCTCAGTCAGTGCCACGAGGATGCAGAAGAAGGAAGGTGAGTTGTTTGCCCACCTCCTCCTCTGCTTCCCCGGGCCCTGCCGAGGTCTGCACCCTCTCCCTGCCTCATCCGCACCACCTGAGAGTGGCGTGGATGAGGCCCCCGTCCCCCTCTCTGCCTCGTCCGCGCCACCTGAGAACAGCACAGATGAGACCCCCGTCCCCCTCCCTGCCTCGTCCGCACCGCCGGAGAACAGCGCAGATGAGGCCCCCGTCCCCCTCCCTGCCTCGTCCGCGCCACCTGGAGCGGCGCAGATGAGACTCCCACCCCAGGAGCTTGGGGGGGCAACAGTGGGAGGGCTTCTGGTGTCCTAGCCCCACTGCCGGACCTCCTGATGGCCCCTGGTATTTTTGGCCCCTGTGTAACAGAGTGTTGGACTGGAGGGGCCATTGGCCTGATCCAGCATTGGCTTCTGTTATGTTCTTATGTCTGGGGCAAGGGATGCTCTGTATTCTTGGTGCTTGGGGGGGACAGTGGGAGGGCTTCTGGTGTTCTGGTCCCACTGCCAGACCTCCTGAGGGCACCTGGTATTTTTGGCTGATGTGTGACACAGTGTATTTATCTTTTGTATATGGTTTCCCATTTGTACTTACCTTACAGTAGTTGGCTGATGCAGTGCTAGGGGCAGGCCTTCTGTGCTGCTGCTAGTCCACCAGTGGCTCTTAGCCACAAGGTATAGATAGGAACTTTCAGTGTGGGGCAGCACCTGGTATTTTTGGCTGATGTGTGACATAGAGTGTTGGACTGGATGGGCCCCTGGCCTGATCCAACATGGCTTCTCTTATGTTCTTATGTCTGGCGCAGTGATGCTCTGCATTCTTGGTGCTTGTGGGGCAAGAGTGGGAGGGCTCCTGGAGTTTTGGCCCCGCTGGTGGACCTCCTGAGGGCACCTGGGTTTTGTCCAGTGTATCCTCTAAGTGCAAGGTAGCTAATAGTTTTTTAGCCTCTGGCTCATACATTTTTGTCTTAATTCAGGAAAGATGCCTCCAGAGCAAACTGATTTATGCAGTAGCCAAATTGCTCACTCATAGCTTTAATGCCAGTCACTCACAAAGGAGCATCCCGGGATGTGGTTTCAGAGTCATGTGACAGGAAGAGGGGGAGCTGGACCATAACCAACAGACCGAAAGGGCCAAGGACAAGAAACAAAAACCAGTCATCAAGAGGTTCCGGTGATGTCAGGGGGTGTGGCCTTATGACACACTCCCGTGATGTCAGGGGGTGTGGCCTTATGACACACTTCTGGTGATGTCAGGTGGTGTGGCATATGCTAATGAGTTATGCTAATGAGCTCTGGCAGCTCTTTTTCTACAAAAAGACCCCTGGTAAAAGGTATACAGGGAACCTACAAAATAACAGAACATCTAACAGCTACATTTTCTACTGCTTACTTCTCAAAACACAGTCACACACTAACACACAGATAATGGAGAATGTGTCCTTCTCGACCCCTGGAAAGGAAGTCACCTGAAAACAAACAACCAATTTGTATCACACCTTTTCCGGGGCTAATCCCCCATTGGCTCTGTGCCAGGTATCCCTTCCAGGTCAGTAAACAATAGCAATACTAGGTAAACAAGTTAACTCTATAATGACTGGACTGTCAGACCTTGTAAACACATACGTTTCCAACAGTGTTGAAAAATAATACAAATATTCAGGAACTTGCTACTCTCTAAACATCTTTAAAAAGCATCAAGACAGAAAACTCATTTCACATGCTTGTAAGATTCCAGTCTGTTTGGACATGAAAATCCAAAACAAGGGTCTCCATTTTAGAAAGGTGAGTTTTGACAACTCACAGTTCTCTGACCTTTAGATTTCTGTACATACTACTCATATTGATTTGCTGAAAAGCTTTTCATAGAAAAACTGTAGTAGCCATGTAGATTTTATATGTCAGTGAAATATTTTGTATTTCACACTTACCTCCCTTTAGTGCTCCACAAAATGTATAATCATCATCTTCACCAGTGCAAAGAACATTTCTCCATTCTAAGACTTTCTTACGTTCATACCACAGGGCTGTTATCGTTCTGAGAAAGGTTAAATCTCTCTCTATAAAAATAACACAATCAAAGACAGAGTGCAGAAGCTTCAGAAAATTACATCCATTTTCATTTTATTTTCTCAGAACAATTCATTCAAATCTGTGAATCATTTGATAATGAATTTTGTGAGATAATCTGATTGAAAACATCCATAACGTACAGCAGCATAGCCAGAAAAATAACATGCATTAAGCTGTCTTAAGGTACACACCATTATTCTTTTCTACCAAAACTGGATAGTGGCTGGTCGCTTTCCTTCACATATGATAGAGGCCTCTTAAATTATAAATGAGGAAGAGAAAGTGGATAGAGAGATTTTCTAGCGTTACCAGCCTCCAAGTGGGGCCTGGGGATCTCTCCTTTTTACAACTGATCTCCAGCTGACAGAGATCAGCTCCCATGGGGAAAATGGCTGCTTTGAAGGGTGGACTCTATGGCATTGTACTATGCTGAGGCTTCACCCCTCCCCAAACCCTGCCCTCTCCTGGCTCCACCCCCGAAGTCTCCTGGTATTTTCCAACCCAGACCTGGCAACCTGAAGCTTCTCTCTCCTCCATAATACTAGAATGTGGGGAGTTCCAAAGGAGTTGATAGGAAATAGGATCCAGATCACCAAGGGAAAATGCTTTTCTACTCAATTAGTAATTAAATTGCGAAGTTTACTGAACGTAGTGAAGGCATTAGCCACAAACACATAGGATTTTAAGAGGGAATATGACTCATGGAGGATAGGTTCGTCAATGGCTACTACTCATGGTGACTAAATCGAACCTCCATATTCTTCTGAGGGAGCAAACCTCGGAACACCAGTGCCAGCATCGAGGGAAGGTCTTGGCCTCTACGCCCTGATTGTTGGCCCACCAGGTAAACTGGTTAGCCATTGTATGAAAGAGGATGCAAGGCTAGAGGGACCACAGGTCTGATCCAACAGAACTCTTATTGTGTTCTTAAAATAGGACAAGCAAAAGGATTGTTCAATACACTGTCATCTGCATACCTAAAACTCTGGTGCCAAAAAAAGAAGGGATGTAGGAAAAATGAAGGCACACAGTCACCCAGCATACCAAATTCTCCCACACGCAGTCATCCAGCAATCTTTCCTGGGAATGATCCCCATTAACTAGGTCTGAGAGGACTCAGAGGAGACCTGCTGAGATGGCTCTCTCAGTCTACCAGTTCCCCAACGTCTCTCTTCAGGATCAAACATAAGACTTAAAGACTTATTAGATGAAGTATCATGTCTCTTTAGAAACCTGTATAAGGGTCAAGAAGCAACAGTTAGAACCGGATATGGAACAACTGATTGGTTTAGCATAGGAAAAGGAGTACGACAAGGATGTATATTGTCACCTTGCTTATTTAATATATATGCAAAGTACATCATGCGAAATGCTGGCCTGGATGAATCACAAGCGGGAATTAAGATTGCTGGGGAAAAGATCAAAAACCTCAGATATGCAGACGATACCATTCTAATGGCAGAAAGTGAAGAGAACCTTAAGAGCCTCTTGCTCAGAGTATAAGAGGAGAGCGCAAAAGTGGGCTTGAAGCTCAACATCAAAAAAACTAAGATCATGGCATCCGGCCCCATCACTCCTTGGCAAATAGAAGGGGAAGTCGTGGAAGTAGTGACAGACTTCACGTTCCTGGGATCCCAGATCACCGCAGACTGTGACAGCAGCCATGAAATTAAAAGACGCCTGCTCCTTGGGAGGAAAGTGATGGCGAACCTAAACAGCATGATAAAAAGTAGAAACATCACCCTGCCAACAAAAGTCCGCATGGTCAAAGCAACGGTATTCCCAGTAGTCATGTATGGCTGCGTGAGTTGGACTATAAGGAAGGCCGAGCGCCGAAGAATAGATTCTTTTGAACTATGGTGCTGGAGAAGACTCTTGAGAGTCCCTTGGACTGCAAGAAGATCAAATCAGTCAATCCTAAAAGAAATCAACCCTGACTGTTCCCTGGAAGGCCAGATAATGAAACTGAAGCTCAAATACTTTGGCCACCAAATGAGAAGGGAGCACTCACTGGAGAAGACCCTGATGCTGGGAAAGATTGAAGGTCAAAGAAGATGGGGATGGCAAAGGATGAGATGGTTAGACAGGGTCATAGATGTAACGAACATGAAATTGAGCAAACTTCAGAGGACGGCGGAAGACAGGAAGGCCTGGCGGGATCTGGTCCATGGGGTCGCGAAGAGTCGGACTCGACTGTGCGACTGAACAACAACAACAACATCATTAAACACCAGGATAGCCATCTCACTGAAGCATCAGCTAATACAGAAGATCCAGGAAAACAACAAAATGTTGACATGCTCACTAAGAATAGAGCTACACATAGTGCCATAATTATTTTTCCTGACTTTAAAAAAATGCAGCTACAGAGGCAGCAATTTAAACAGGTAGATTGACATGGGGGAGAGGCTACTTAGCTCTTAATTTGCATCACTTGCCCATTGAAAATCACCAAGCTGGTTTCCCCCCTACTTGGGAGTGGGGAGGGAGACAAGGAATATGAGTAGTTATAAATTTTCCCCTCAGGAACAAAAACATGGGAAATAGCCATTCTCAGTGGGAAAAATTTCCCCTCCATGGGTTCTCTCCTTTTAAATCCTGTCCACCATGGAAGTATGATTAAAATTTTAAAAGGTGGAAAAAATAGTTCTGGGAGTACATATAGCATGCCGTCCTTGACATCCTGGCATTTCAGAGACCGTCTGAGTTATCTGCAACAAATTCCCTGACAGAACAGTGTAGGAGGTAGGGTTGCTAGCTCTGGGTTGGGAAAGACCTGGAGATTTTGGGGGTGGAGCCTGGGGAGGGAAGGTTTTGGGGAGGGAGCTTAGCAGGGTATCATGCCATAGAGTCCACCCTCCAGAGCAGCCATTTTCTCCAGGGGAACTGATTTTGGTTGTCTGGAAATCAACTGTAATAGTGCCGGCTCTCCAGGTGCCATCTGGAGGTTGGCAACCCTAGACGAAGGTCCTCTCTCTCTCCCTCTGTGTGTGTGTGTGTGTGTGAAGTCAATCAGCTCCTTTACCCATCCAATTTGATTGTGTTGCTTTCAAAAAGACTGTTTACCGAGCTTAATTTTGTGGGTTTCATCACTGGAAGCATCTGACAAAAGTTAATAGACCTTCACAATAAGTAAATTACGTGGACATGGCACTTTACCAAATTTGTGATGCTTGTGTGATAAGCTAGAAACATGATAGCCTTCAAGTCATGCAAGAGCTTCCTTCAGCTGACTCTGTCCCAGTAGGACAACTAGGAATCATCAACGATCTGAACAACACCAGCTCTTCCAAACTTCCAGTCCAGCAAGAATAGACTGAGCCTGACTGGGACTACAGCAATGGGAAGAGGAGGCTGGCAAGTTGTCCAGTCCATGGCAGAATGGGCTATACATTCAGCTCGGTGAGTACTAGTCCTATACTACATACATGTTTCACCCCAGGTCATTGAAATAGTGATGGGTAAAGCAGATCACCAGGGAAAAGTACACCACCTTTCAACAATGCAAAGTAATTATTCTAATGCTATTATTTGAAATACAAGAGCAACTCACTTGGAATCCAGAATAGAGTTCCCTTCCACTTCGAAAAGTCATTAAGATTACATGGCTCCACTCCAAAGACGAGTGTTTCAGTGCTGGAACCTATGGGGAGATGGATTTAGCAACATCATAAAGCTCATTGGGAAATGGCATGAAACTTTGATCATTCCTAGATCCAGACTGAAATATGACAACTCTAAATGGCAACACTTATCCAGGTAAAGCATTGCTACCTGCCTGGAAAAAAATGTCCCGTTCTTTTTTATTATCATTATTATTATTTTTAAAAAACAAACATTTTTATTGCTTTTCTAAACTACACACCCAGGGGTCATTTCCTGTGGGAGTGCACAGGAGCGGAGCTCCGCCTCCTGCTCCCAGCTGCCCTCAGTTGGGCCACGAGGAGCAAAAAGCAGCTAGGTAAGTTGCAGAGCACCCCCCTGGCCCGCCTTCAGGTACAAGCTCTCCCTCCTCTGAGGGCAGATCTGTGCGTTCCCCCCCCCCTCTATTGCTAGCAACCCAAAACAGTCCACGGTACCTTTAAGACCAAGTTTTATTCAGGCACAAGCTCTCCCTCCTCTGCAAGGGCAGATCTGCACGTCTGTTCCCCCCAATAGCTAGCAATCCAAAACAGTCTAGTGGAGCCTGAGTGGTGGGTGTTGCCTTCTGACACACTTCTGGTGATGTCAGGGGGTGTGGCATATGCAAATAAGTTATGCTAATAAGTTATGCTAATGAGCTCCTGCACCTCTTTTTCTACAAAATGACCCCTGTACACACCTATAGGGTTTGGGGATGGGAACAAACAAAACCTATGAGTAGCAAGAGATCATTAATACAATTATTTAAAGTAAGGATAATTCCCTACTGTCAAAGTAGTAATGCATGAGAGTTAATACAATAGTTATATAGAAGATTGAGTGAGTGTTCACAAACAAATTTGGTTAGAGTGTATGCTTCTTAGTTTTGGGTTATTAGTTCCTGATAATTATCAGACCATTAGAGTTTTATTATTTTACTTATTTCCTTCCTCTATGTTTCTTTTCAAAGTCCTTTGGAGCAGTAGCCCCTAGTTCTGCTTCAAAATCTAAGGATCCAGCCGATGAAGAGTTGGTAGAACTTTCCTCGGTTTTGTCTTCTTCTTTTTCTGCATCCTTGTCGTCCTCCAGTTTCTCAGATCCATCTTTATCTTGTTGGTGGTGCTGAAGAAATTTTTTCGCTTTGAAGACAGAGTCAATTTTTTCTTTTTTGTTGTTGAAGTTAAAAGTAAGCCCTTCTGGGGTTAACCATCTGTATGGGGTGTTGTGCCAGGTCTCTGTACTGTCTTCTTCTTTTTCTGATCTCAAATGGAATGCCTTTTAAAATTTTAGTTTGTTCTCCTTTGATTTTTAAAACAGTTCTGCTAGTTGCTTTCAGGATTAAGTCTCTTATTGACCTTTTTGAGAATTTGAGAATTTAACGAATATTTCCCCGGGCAGCTTATTTTTCTTTATATATTCTGGATATGTACAGCATACTATATCCATGGTGTTTTGTATCACTTCTGCTGTTAAGCCTACCACGGGGACCACTTCTTTGCTTAAAATCTCTTTCAGGTTTTCACCTTTCTGCTCAGAAATGTTCTGAAATCTCAGGACATATGCTGATTTTTCCATTTGGAGGGATAGCAATTGGTGATTCTCAAAGATTTTATCTTTTTCCACCACCTCCAGTCTTTGTTCAAACTTTTTGGGCTTAAGATCAACTTTTTTCAGCTTCTTATTTATCTTCTCTGTTTTTGCTGAAGTATCTTGAAGCTCATAAGAACATAAGAACATAAGAGACGCCAATGTTGGATCAGGCCAAAGGCCCATCCAGTCCAACACTCTGTGTCACACAGTGGCCAGAAATACCAGTGCCATCAGGAGGTCCAGCAGTGGGGCCAGGACATTAGAAGCCCTCCCACTGTTGACCCCCCCCAAGCACCAAGAAGACAGAGCATCACTTGCCCCAGAGCCCCTAGCTATACCTTGTGGCTAATAGCCACTGATGGACCTCTGCTCCATATGCTTATCTAATTCCCTTTTGAAGCCATCCATGCTTGTAGCACCCACCACTTCCTGTGGCAGTGAATTCCAAGTGTTAATCACTCTTTGGGTGAAGAAGTACTTCCTTTTATCCATTCTAACCCGACCGCTCAGCAAGTTCATGGAGTGCCCACTCTCTGCTCCATATGCTTATCTAATTCCCTTTTGAAGCCGTCCATGCTTGTAGCACCCACCACTTCCTGTGGCAGTGAATTCCATGTGTTAATCACTCTTTGGGTGAAGAAGTACTTCCTTTTATCCGTTCTAACCCGACCGCTCTGCAGTTTCATGGAGTGCCCACGAGTTCTTGTATTGTGAGAAAGGGAGAAAAGTACCTCTTTCTTTACCTGCTCTTTCCCATGCATAATCTTATAAACCTCGATCATGTCACCCCTCAGTCGTCTTTTCTCCAAGCTAAAGAGCCCTAAGCGCTTTAACCTTTCCTCATAGGGAAAGTGTTCCAACCCTTTTATCATTCGAGTTGCCCTTTTCTGCACTTTTTCCAAAGCTATAATAACCTTTTTAAGGTGTGGTGCCCAGAACTGCACACAGTATTCCAAATGAGGTCTCACCATTGATTTATATAGGGGCATTATTATATTGGCTGATCTGTTTTCAATACCCTTCCTAATAATCCCCAGCATAGCATTGGCCTTCTTTATTGCAGT